TTGGTTAGATTTGGCCATAAAATTCGAAAATTCTCAGGAAAAAAGCAACAGAAGCATTTCTGTGCTCTAGTTCTGAATAAATAATAACATTCTGCACAATCCTTATTACTCAAACTATATGAGAAGAGCATATTCGTCAAAATCAGTCCTTTAACTTTTTGCTACTATTGTACGTATTAAACATCCTTAAAACATTTAGAAATGTAGCGCATATATAAGAATTAAATCAAATCATATGTATGCACAATTATTTCTAAGTTTCAATGTAGAAATATTAAAACATGAAATATTACTTATTCAGCATGGTAAAATTTTAAAAGAAGAATCAAATAGTAAATATTTAATTGATTTAATAATTAAAATACAAATATTATATCTAAGAATACTACAAATATTAAAAATTGTGATTTTATGTTTGTATATAAGTATTGCAATAATTATAACATGTTTAATTTCAAATTAGATTTGTCTAATTTTTGATAAACATTATTTAGAAATTTTACTCTGACAAAATTGTTGCGGCACGGCAAATCATCTATTAGCGCAATTATTACAAAATTTTTGTTATATCATGATGCCCTTATTGGGTTGTCACAATGTTTTCACAATATTCCTATCGGGGAATTATTCATGATCATTAAAACTGTACTTTAGTAATCTAAAAATTATAGTATTCTAGATTCTAAATAAATTCTAAACTAACATATGCGTATAGGTATGTATCCTTCGACCGTTATGGAAAATGTTAGTATATATTTAAGTACTAATAAATGATAATGGCACATACGTTTCGTATGTAGTTACTTAAACTGAAGCCGTGCCCCCAAATTTCCGTGCGGTTGCAAGACAATTTTTTGACGTCTCCGTATTTTTTGACGCTGTCGCGAAATCGCGTGTAACCGCTCGCAAAGAGTTGTACTGCATCATAAGCGAGCGCCGCTTCTACCCTTAAGTGAGAACCGTCTGCCAAGTTCCAATTCAATGATCTTGAGTTGAGAGTACGTCGAACAATTGAGCTTTCGGGGTCGATTAAACGTATGCCTGTTAAATTCACTCCAGAGTATTGATAGGGTTCTAAATCCAAAGTCTGCAGGTCCTAATAAAATCGAACGCGCACTACGTATATTACTGCCAATAGATGTGTTCACGAATCAGATAAAATACACACTGTTTGTACACACTGTTAACGTATTTATTATTTTGAGTACAACATAATAAACATGTCTTGAGTATTACGAGATACATAAGATTTTTTTGTTATAAAGAAGGACGTTAAAGAAGGGCCGTATTTTGTGTAAGTAAAAACAATAGTGTTCTTTATAGATTTGGATCTCCTGAATACAATAGAACTATTAAAAAGTTCGTAGCGCTTGGGAAACACCTTGAAAATTGAGCATAAACACAGCGTATTGAGTAAAAACGTTGTGTTTATGCTCAATAATTTTCAAGGTGTTTCTCAAGCGTTACGAATTTTTTAATAGTTTTATTGTATTCAGGAAATCAAAATTTATAAAAAAACACTATTGTTTTTAACAATATATATATATATATATATATGTATATATTACAACCGTATAAGTGTTGTAAACATGTAAACATAACTAATAAGATCCCTAAGGAAGGCCATTGCACGGTCATAGCAGAATCTTGGTGCTTCTAATATTATATTTCTATGTGATTTTACATACGTATTTTACACTGTAAAATGTTTGGAAAATTCCGTGAAATTTAAGCTATTGAAGTAACTTAATTTTACAAAATTAGGTTGCTGAAAATGAAATTTAGTAACATTTAAAGCAAATTTACTAAATTTCTCTTAAAATTCTGATACTGTATTGTAGAATTATAAACGGTTTTTTAAAATTATTAAATGGTAACAGAAATTCTGATACTGTACCGAAAAATTATAAACGGTTTCTTAAAATAACTAAATGGTAACGGCAATTTAAGATATCGTAACTGGAAAAAGTTGCTCAATGTACTCTGCGCAGCTTTTGTCTAGTGCACTACTCGGCGGCTTGTGGAAACGACGTTCTTCCGCATCAAACTCACGGACGGAGAAAGGTGAAAGCAAAGAATAGTGATGATAGAAAGGATAGTGATAATAAAAAGAATAGTGATGATTTTAATAAATAATGCTGCTTATATTATTTATCTTGTTAATATATATAAATAATAAAATAATACGAGCGAAGTATGTTTACACAAATAACTAACTGCATATAGATTATATGCAGTATTCTCAATGCATTAAAAGAGATAAAAAAATTTTTTTATCGGTTTATTAATTTTAACATATATATATGGTTAATAATTACCTTGGCATATAAATAATAAGATAATGTGAGTTAAGTGTTTATGCAAACAATTGCGTACATACATATGTTATATAATAATACTCAATACGTATATCAAATGTATAGTCAAAAAGTATGTACACTCAAATATAACTTTTTATAACTATAATTATAAAATATTTTTGACTATACATTTGATATATTGAGCATACCATATAACACTTGTCACATATGTATGCAGTTGTTTGCATAAACATACCTCCCTTACATTATCTTACTATTTATGTGTCAAGATAATTATAATCTGTATATATATTAAAATTAATAAACCGATAAAAAATTTTATAATTTTTTAAATTTTCAGTTACGGTTACTGCAAATTACTAAACTAAATAACGGAATTTTCAGAGACGTGTGACTAAAGCTTTATGCAGTTACTGCTTCCAAAATTTTTATTCCCGTTTATAAATTTCAGAAACAGTAACTGCATAAAGCTTTAGTTACACGTATCTGAAAATTTCCATAGAAATTTCTAACAGGGTATAAGCTTCAACGAAGTGTGTGCCGTTACTTCTGGATGTTCTGGATTCAAGTTTTTGATTGAAACAGAACCGTATTATTACGTTATTAAATCGATAATCAATTTAATAAGTACTGATGCTCACATTTACATCTAATAAATCCTCCCTCCCCCATGACGTCAAATAAATGCTAACTTGCATCTATACAATCCACTCTCACCGAATCTGTTAGAAATTTCTATTGTTTTTACTTCACCTTTTTGGAACAAAATCGGCTCTTTTTTAACATATATCCTTCTTTGAAACTGTATTTTTGAAATATTTGATTTATTCTGCGACAATTGCGCTAATTAAGCAAAATGTTAGAGATTATGAAAGAATTTATCTTACCAGCGAAGCAATAATCACTCTATAGTTCTCTGATATTATTCCGACTTGTAGTGCCTGTTTGAGAACAGTCGCAAGAATATCGTACGAACAGTCAATTATGATATTTTTACATCCAGACATTCTCACTTCCTTCATGGCTTGCCTACAAGTAAATCGTCCCATTAATTTTTCTATAGCTCGATTAGCGTCTTCAGAAAAAATCTCAGCAATAGCGACATGTGTGGCTATGCGAGTGACGCTCGCGCCTCGTATCCAGACAGTCGTATCGTAAATCATCACGATGTTTTCTGGCGTTTACGGCGGGTCTAAATAATGGCACAGGTGCATAATAACTTTGTTTGACAAACGTCGCTCGCACATGCACGCGCGCTGCAGGCTCGTACTGAGGAACGGCCTATTTATATGGTTCGCGCACGCATACCTAAAATTTGGTCCACTACCTAAATGGAACACCATCGCGGAAATGGTGTTCATGTTTGACAACTTGAGCAGTCTGTTGATGCGTATCAGGCCATCCACGTTGTCATAAAGTATTGCGTATTCTTTCCATTTGTATTCTATTATTAAGTCTTGGAAAACCTAAGTAATTTTGTATATTAATTTTGATGTGAATATAATCAATAGCAATAATCGCATTGAAATTTATTGAATATAAAAAAATTATAATTTTCTTTGCTTTCAATCTCTTGATTAAATTATGTTTGGCTGACGAATTCAGTTAACAAATATATAGTGAACAATGCTTGCAAATGATGAAATGCGAAAAAAATTTAGAGTAATATTTATCTGAACATATTATTAGGACAATACTTGAAAATTTCTTATAAGCAATGCAATTTTTTATTTTGATTTAAACACTTTAATCTAATTTTGTATTTTAATAAAAAGATTCTAGCCAAAAATGTAATTGCTTTACTCAGATTGAATTTATAGATTGATGGCAGTTTGTTTATAAATTGCTAAGTTTATAAATAAGAATAAGTACCATGGAGAGCGCGTCGGGATGCGGATATAGGTTTATTACATTGCCACGTTTTGGTTCGGAATCCCATCTGGCAGCAATATGAGGTATGTCCAGGATATCGCACATACTTTGAATGTGGCTCGCTGTCGTTTTGTCTTGAGGACCGAATAATCCGGTCACTCCGTTATTTACCAACTCGCATGCTACCCAGAAATACATCATGCGATCTCATAAAATGCTTCACATGTATTAGTAATCGAGCATTTAATCACGAGCTATCGCTAACGAAATTTGCAAAAAATTAACTTTCGATTTTACAAACAAATTAGTTAGAATGCAATAAGTTTGGAAAACTTATTGCATTAACACTGTTTGGAAAAAATTTATATGCAATATAAATATAAATAGTAAATAGATTCTGGATGTATGCATATTGCGCAAGCGCGCGACAATAAGCGCGCTCATTAGATTATAAGTATAGGCATAAGGAACATTCTAAAGATAGAAAATATGAAGTTCTGCTCCAATTCGCAAGCACGAAAGAAGAATTACCTATTTTTTCTACTTGGAATGCATTCTTGTTGACTTTTTCTGTTCTGGGTTTTAACAATAAGCCCTTCAGACGGTCGGACCCAGTCATGTTCCTATTTACTGATTTGACTGATATTTCAAATGCTTTCTGAATCATCTCGTCGCCGTCGAACAGACCTCCTGCAATTTCATTTTCATTTAATTTCATTAATACGCTGGATTTTGGTTATTCTGCTTTCACCCGCGTGTGTTATTATTCATGAGAAAACGCGGCGAGCTTACCGATTGGTATCTTCCTCGGAAATCCCAAAATGTTGGACATAAATGCAACAGTGACGTATAGGAGTAGTATTTCTCGGCCATTCTAAAAGAGGATCGTTCTAATAGCAACGCAAAGTAAATTGTACAGAGTGTATACGCAGTACGGAGCTTCTCCTATTTCTTTAAAACATTTCTATAAACATTTAATTACGAGAATTTCTTAGTAAGATTGTGTAAAATTAAGTTTGCTCTTGTTTGTTATTGGCTTTTGCATTAGTGCTATTGCCCCGCTATCCTAGATGATCTAAACATTCAAGCGCACTAATACAGTACATATACACACACACCCAGTGTGGTATATTTAGACACTTCTCGCCTCGCTGTGCCAACGTACTCTGCAACAGCTTCTCTCAATCTATCTGCTGAAAACAACTGTCGAATGGTTCACTGACAGTCTTTGAGAGATTGTCAGTGGTGTAGATTCGTTTTTACTGGATACTAGTGCCATAATTTCGAATATAAAAAATTTAGATAGATAATTTATAATGTGTAATATGTGCATCTCTACTCCAATTAAACGAAACGTTTGAAAGTCGTCATAAGTTGTGTTTAAGATGTATATCAATTTCAAATGTTTACACTAAATACATGAATAAAATACATTTTAATTTTAGTCTAGAAAGCGTAGCCAGTTTTTCGATAGTTTTGTGTTATTGATAAGAATAACGATAAGAATAATGTGCACGAATTTACTAACAGATTTATTACTTTTTTATAATTACCAAAGTCTACAATCTTACAAAATAAAAAATATTTTCACGTATATTAATTGCGTCTCTAAAGAGAAAGTAAATGATGTTTTAATTGTTGTATGGTACTATTTTGCAAACGTAAATCTGCCTTCACAAAACTCACTTTGTAAACATTTTTTGTTTTATTCAAATTTGTACCTTTTTAATAAATTTATTATTCTATTATATTGCATGTGGTGTGTTCAATCTATAAAGGTACACATGATGTATTCAGCGTATTTTTAAATCTCGATCTTGTTAACAAGAAAGCGCTAAGTAGTTATAGATGAATTTGTTCATCATTCGCGCGGCTCGTTGCCAAAATAAAATTCAGGCAGCACATCAATTGCGTTGTTGGGAAAGTATATGTTAAATATTTCCTTCAATACAAGGAAACAAACCATTTTTGGATTATAGAGCAATACTACGTGGTTAATGGCTTCAGAGATTTGCAACAACGTCTCACGCGGTGTATTACAAGCATCCCTCTCCCACGTCTACGTAAAAACCACTTGTGTTACATTTGTCCACTTAGGTTGATTGGTTGGTTAACGGCATGTGAGATCACTCGCGTGATTAATTGTACTTATTGCAGACTTATTGGAAACACTCTGGAAAGGAATAATGGGCAAAGAATTAAACTCGTCGTGTCACCGAATTTGTATACTTCGCGAGCCATCCGGCGCTATCGGAGCCAGTGGTTATACTATCCCATGATTACTAGTTGACTATTTCAACCACATGCGAGAGCTTGAAAAGTAGGTAATGGTACCGTATCCTCTCATATGTTGTGCCCGTATTGTTTTGCGCATGATCGTCGTTATTTATCTCATTTAGAAGGTTCGTTTTATCATTGTTAATTATCATGTGGCAATCATTTACTAAAATTGCCATTTTTAATTATTATTTGAGAATTTTATGCATTTGACAGTTGTAAGAAATATTTATATTTAGAATCTATTATTGGCTTTTGACCGTCATAATTTTTCTAAACCTAGATTTGCACACAAACCAGACGTAAAAATTGCAATACTATCTAGTAGTATTTTTTAGTAATTTTAAATTATTTGATTTAATTTACTCTATTTTATTAATAATTTTTTTTCTTTCCTTATTCTAAATTAGACTAATCCTGGATATTTATTTCATTCGGTGCGCGGTGCTTGATTTGAGTGAGTATGAGAAAATAAAATTACGAAAAAAAGATTAATTTCTCTAGCAATGTTAACTGTTAATGTTATCCCAATTTGTCTATTATTTTAATTAGTAATTAATGTATGGAGGGAATGAAATAATATAACATTTTAAAGTAAATTTGTTGAAAACAAATGTATTATATATTAATATTATAAACTGTATTATATATTATATATACTTATCTATGTTATCATTATTTTATTCAGTACACAAGTGCTCTAAAATGTTTTAGATAAATTTCATGTTTAGTAGTTTAAAGATTCAATTTGATATCCGGAGCCATCATGAACTACAAAGTGGTAAATCTGGACGAGCAAGCCTTTTATCGGGAGTCGTTTCGTCATTATTTGTCGTCAGTTGGTGACGTTCTTATAACTGTTGGTACAAAACCATATGGAGGAGTACATCCCCTTGTGCTGGAGCTTTTGTTAGATCCATTTCTTCTTCGTGCCGGCTTAGAGTTACTACATTTCGCGACAAATTTCAGTTCGTTTATTAATTCCTGCTTGAAAGACACCTGTAAAATAAATAACACATTATATATTTGATAAATAAATATAAATATGTTACATTTTGTGGAAAAAATAAACGATTAAAAGTATTGTTAAATTCTACACGAAAAAAATTTTTTTAAATTTACCCTGCAAATCATGTTAATTGTGAGACAATATAGTATTTAGGCAAATTTTATTGTACATTACAATAAATTTTACTGTAAAATCTTATTGTAGTGTACAGTAAAATTTGTTTCTAAATACAATATTGTCCCACATTTAACATAATTTGCAGGGTAAATTAAAAAAAAATTCTCTTCGTATACAAGAATTTTCTGAGTCGCTAATTATTATCATTTATATCTTTATTTATAACACACACACACACACACACACACACACGCGCGCGTTTAAAAAACGTACATATGCTAAATTTAAAATTATTAAATTTTAATAAAATTATTTATCATCATAATATTGTTATAATGATATAAAATTGAATCGCCGTCTTAATTTTTCAAATTAATTGTGATTATTTCACTATTTTTGTCTTAGAACTGTATTAGTTTTAGAGAATCCGATGGATTTTGATGGAAAGCGGTATGATCGTAATATACTGTGTTGTAAGTAAGAATAGTCCGCTTACATTTTCTCGAATGGATGTTTGGGCAACATCCCAAAGTAATTCTAATATAGTGTATACGCAGGATAAGGCGACGCCTACAGTGAGCACCAAGAATACTCCACCCACGTTACCGAGGCCTAGTGGATCCGCTTGACTGGCTCCAGCGCTTTCCTAAATAGCGATGCGTGACAAGCAGATTAAATAGATACGATGTACACATTTTATAATAACCAAAATTCAAAATTTATCTACCACTCACCCGACATTTGCCTCCACCTCTCTTTTGTGTCCACCATTTTTTCTTTATTTGCGAGATGACGCCGCCTTCAGAAAGTTGCAATACTGCCGAGTTGATATTGTGTAAATACTCCGAGTCTGCAACAGTAATGTATGACACGGAATTTATTTCCTATTTATTTCCTATATGTACAGGAAATAAGTAAGTTACAGAACTAAACGTCCCAATTTATTGGAAAATTATATTGAATTTTACTAGTGAACATAGTTTTGCATCACGGCATAATTTTAGAATCATATAATATTTAAAAAAAAATAACAAAGTGCATTTTTAATCTCATAGATCTGAAGTTGAAACAAATTCAGGTTTATTATTAAATTATTCCATATTTAATTAGATGAGGATTTTTACATTTGGCGTATTCTGAAATAATAAAATAAAATAGCAAAAAAACAACATAGGCTGATGTTTGTAATTTATTCAACATTGTATTAAATAATTAATATCTTATAATGTTAATATGATGCTTAAGATGCACGGTGACATTTTAAGACTATACTTAAAAAGTCTTAAATATAAAAACCAACTAAACATCGACCAATAGTGACATTTGATAGAACAAAATAAACATTATCTTTTGAAATCTCTCGTTATTTAGGTTTCAGTTATTAAGGCGATGCTGGAAAATCGGAAAAATTTGCACGAGATCGATAAAACAGACTCTTCGGTGTTAGTGGTATCTCTAAATGAACTTCTTACAATATCTTTTATCTCACTCAAACACGTGGAATGTCCTTATCTAACTTATTGAAGTGCCATCCGTTGCAAAATCCGACACTTAATGCTAGACACAATATTTGCTGTTTTTACCTTAGCTAAGCGTACAAATTACCATAAATTGCAGTCGTAGGGATTTCTTTTTTCTTAGACTTTCAATCGTAGTTCAAAAGGCTTTGTTTTATTTGTTCATGTAATCCGATTCGAGGGACGTAAGCATTTTGTACATATGAGCTACAGAACTTCTACTTTAATGAAATGTTTACGTCAAATAACAGCTGTACGATCCAAAAAATGTAATTTTTAAATTTTTTTACGTTTTGACTACAAATTCCTTTGTCCCCCCCAATACATTTTATGTCTATTTTAATCCTGTGAAAGGATTTTCAATTCTGTTCAGTTCTGTCATTTCGGAGAAATCTTTACGACTGCAATGTGTCGATAATTTCGACCTTCCAGCATCGCTTTAAGATATTGTATTTTACATTGATAAATTTAATATAATATATGTATTACTGTAAATGTATACAATAAATTATTCTAAAAGTAATCTATTTTTCTAATTTTCTTCAAATTTTGATAATCTTATAATTCGATATTATCGAAGTTAACATGAAGATAATATTTAGAAAAAATGATTTTTTTATGGTTAAAAATTATGAAAATATAAACTATTTTCCATATTCTATTGCTATACAAGTCTATATAGATATTATTTCAATTGATAAACTTACTTTTCTTCATTGCAATTCCGTAACCTTTTTCATCGAGCAGATCTCCTACTTGACTAACTTCGCAAATTCGCTCGACCAAATATCTAGAGTTTAATATATATGTATATATATATGCATTAGGGTGGGTCGAAAGAAATTTTTTTTTAAAATCAATTAGTAAAAAGTTAGAGCTATGGACCTCAATATAGTCTGCGTAAAATTTTATCGAAATCGGTTAATATCTTCAGGTTTCCCCTCGACTTTGAAATTAGTAAGTTTATGCATCTTTTACAAATTTTTGAAGCAACTGTGTGTTTTTTTTACACCAATTGATTTATCTCATTATTCTGTTCCTAAAAATATTAGGTATTATTATCAAGAAATCAATAGTTTACGAGATATTTTATATTGTATCAAAATATGGCATAATAAAGTATAAAATATCTCGTAAAATTGATTTTTTGATAACTTTACCTTAATACTTTTATATGCAGAATAATTAGAGAAATCGTATTATGTAAAAAAAATATTATTCCGTTAAAAAAAATCGATGTGATCTTGATCTGATCTTAACAACGCCATCTAAAATAAAATTAATGATATTTTCTTATGTACCTCCCCGAACTAAACAATTTTTATTTGAAACATTTTTCCATATCTATCATATTTATCGAGAAATCTTAATGTATTATTTAAGAATATATTTCGGATCCGTCATTTTGAAATGTATACTTCTGACCTCGAATTCGTGTTTAACGACCAAAAAAACAACAGTGGTAATATTAAATTGTATTGAAATTAAAATATTTTTTTGAATTTTGACACATCTATGAAGAAATGCATAAACTTACTAACTGCAAGGTCGAAGGGTAACCTGAAGATATTAATCGATTTCGATGAAATTTTATCCAAACCATATTGAGGTCCATATTGAGCTAATTTTTGGGGAGTATTACTAATTAATTAAAAAAAAATTTTTCGGCCTATCTTAATATACATATATATATGTAAAATATATAATAAAATGTATGTACATTTAAAATAGATAAAAGTAATAATTATAAAATAAATATATAAACAGTAAAAATAATACTCGATTGATGCTGATTCCATCAGAAAGGCATAGTCTTCTTCTATGGCCTTCCGTACACCGGCAGTATTATCCAGTACAAGTACATCCTTCTTGTTTGCTTTCATGTACTCGTACATTTCCGTGTACGTTGTGTGATTGCTATCCTTGAAAGTAAAATTCTTTCAAAGAATTTAATTAGAATACAACTCCCACGCTTATGCTCATTTTTCAGTACTATGCACTTATGCATGTTAGTAATTGATTTCCCTATCAAAAACATATGTTTACAAATATTTATTAGGGGAATTGTGTAATTGGAAAATTATTACTTTAAAGTTTTTTTTCTATTATTTTTAATAATAATTTTTAATAGCGACACTTACATAGTTACGTCAATCCTACAAAATGATAAAATTCTCAAATAGAGAACACTGATAATGTTTTAATAATGCTAATAATTGTGAAAAGTTATTGAACGCGACAGTGAAGTAATTGCTTTGTTAATATTATGTTATTGTTATTTATATATATATAATATTGTTATTTATATATATAATTACTAATAGTTATTTAATTAATTGTGTTTTTGCATGCAGAATTAATTACTGCCATATTTATAATAAATGACTATTGTAGGAGAGGGTTGCCGAATGCATAAGTTATTTTTCATTTAATTCTATTTTCTATTTAATTCTATTTTATTCAATTAATTTTATCAATTCTATTTTGTGATGGTATGATTTAGAAAACTTAATAGCTTTTAAAAATATTGATTTAATTTTTATAATAATTGCAAATATGTATATACAGTCGAACCTTGATAAACCTCTACAACTCAAAAACCTATATAAGACGAAAATTTTTATTCCCTTCTGTTCCGCTGCGGAAAATCTCCATAAATCGAAATAAAATCTACCTTAACTCGAATTACTTGTCAGATATTTAGATGTATTATTTTATCTTTGCAACTCGAATTTAAAGTATAGCCAGACCTCTATAAGTCGAAGTTCATCTCTATAAGTCAACTTGTATTGTCGCTGCCTCTATGATTCGAAGTTGTAGCTACGTGTATAACCATATAATAGTTTGGTATTTGTTTTATAATTACATTTATTATATGTAAGTAATAAATAATTTACTGTAAAACATTGAATTTTTTCTTTAAAAGCCATTATAATCGGAAAATTATAAACTCTCGTACAAAGCCTCGAGTCGAATAGCCATAAGTCAAATTTTTATATGTTAACCCTCTTTTATTCGAATTTTGATAAGTCGAAAATTCTATAATTCGAAGATAGAAGATAAAAGAAGAAGAAGAAGAAGAAGATAGATTTACCTCTTCCCTTGAGATTCGAGGTTGACTGTACAATGAACTTGTAAAGTAAGTGCTATAGTAAACCTCTTTTTATGTAAATATAAAAAAATTCTGAATAAAATTATATTATTATCAGCTATATAAATAATACTGGTCGACATGCTAAAAGTTTAGTAAAAGGAGAGCGATTTCCAGTAGATTTTTGGGCTCTGAACGATTCTGTCCTTAGAATTTGCCTATCACATTATATTTTCGAGAAAAATAAGATTAAAGCCTTTAAAAAATACGTTTTTAGCAATTTTTAAAAACCATAGCAGACAAACTTGACGCTAGAAACTTTCAAAAGATTTTAAATGAAAGCTTAATCATTGTACTCGAGCCTAAGTGTCTCCAGTATTATAAAACTATTTACCAGCGCCGTGCAGCCGTGTGTTTGTAGTGCTGTACGCGCGTCACTTAACCGTCACTGCACGGAAGTCGAGAGACTTAACAGCGGAAAAGATTGTATTTTATCCAGTAAATCTGCCATTAATGACTGTGAAAATTATTTTTGAGAGAGCAAGTTACAATAGAGTAATGAAACTAGTATTTTTATAAATAATGTTAACAAATTGCAACTTCTTTAACAGTAGACCGTTTAGCCGCAATATTTATTATGTTGCAATGTTTACGCGAGTGTTAATAAGTCAGAAGATACAGAAGACAGGACTTCCGGCTCTAATGTACAGTGACGGATAGACACGCGCACGTACACCTTAATTACTACAAACACACATTGCTGTACGGTGCAAGGAAATACTTGTAGTTTCGTAATATTGGAGATACTTGGACTTGAGAACAATGTCTAAACTTTCATTTAAGATTTTTTAGAAGTTTCTAGAACATCAAGTTTATCCGCTACGATTTTTCAAAAATTGCCAAAAACATGACCCTTTTTGGATTTCAATCCTTTTAAGAATTTCAATTCTATTTTTCTCACAAATGTGACGTGATACATTTAGAGGATAGTATCGTTTTCAGCGCCCTAAAATCTACGGGAAACCATTCATTTTTCTTCAGAAAACTTTTTGTATGTCGACCAGTGTAATTAATCAAAAATTATATCTGATTTTAGTATTTTTTAAGTGTTAAACACGCACAAAACAAGATGTAAATTTTCATTCATATTGCTCATTTATTTTATATTTTCTGTCTCTAAATATTGATTATATTAAGTAACAATATAAAATATGATAAAGTATGATTTAGATGATCGATATGTATTCAGCAACTCGCTCTGATATATTTTAAATTATTAGTGAAATTTTTTTTAATTAATAATAATAATAATATTTACAAAAAACATAAAACAAGCAACACAGATAAATAAAAGAAGAAATTAGTTATTCAAAGAATTAAATTTTTTTACGTTCCAGGTTATTCTTGTATATATGTATAGTATAAAAATAACAAGCTGAATATATCCTGAAAAATTTGTTGCTACATATGCAATTATTTTTTATTATATACAAAATGGTTATTTTATTTTAATATTAATTATATAAATTTTATAATTTAAGTTAAGTCAGAATCTTGATTTTATTCTGTATATTCGATGCCTTTATGTAAATTTAAATTGTTTCAAATTAAATCATTTCGTTTGTAATAGTAACTTTATATTAATGTTGCAATTTTTTTGTTATAAATGTTATGACAAATTCAGAAAAATGGACTTACTCTGAAGAAATGGAACGTAGATCCTTCATCTTTTGCGCCATATTTTATGGTGCCTTTCTTTTTTGCTAATTCTTCAACATTATCGAACGGCTTTATTACAGTTTCTATAGTTAAGAATGCGGCCAGATTAGCTGTGTAACTAGATACCATAATTAGGCAGAAAAACCACCAGCAACTCGCTATCATTCTTGTAGATATACCTCTGCAAACAATTTAAATTTTAAGATGTAAGACTGTTTTATTAATTTTAAAATTTTTAGTATACTTTTACACTGTTAAATCTATAATGTTAAACTAAACCTTATTTAAATCTCCACTGCTCTTAATAAATAGTTATTTTTTATTAAAACAATGGAGTTAAATAATTTAAAACAGTTCAAATTTTACCCAAATTTGGATTAAATTCTATTGTTTTATTTAAAAGTAACTATATTGAGATCGGAAGAGCACACGT